CCTTACAACCCTGTACTGGGCTTTCAGGACTAGTCTTTCAGTTGTTTTCATCATATCTGCAAAACAGGCTTCAAACCGCAAGAATTCCAAATGCTGTTTGAATCATTTATTATGGCTGCAATTTTAGATATGGCCTCTCTGCTTGGATTTCTGGAATTGCATATTTACCCTGCCTTGTAAGAAAATGATACGATATCCCTTTTTATACACTTCTGCATTCAAATCTGTCAGAATAATATTTTATCTTGGCAAATGTTCAGCCAGTACATAAACTTAAACAACAGAAAGTATTATGATTTTGAACCCCTTCAATCAAATCTCATCTTTGAAACCCTAGTGTGTATCTGACCATGAATTTATGACTTTCCCATAACACCATTGAAATTAAGGGATTGTTAGCTTTCAGACACAGGCATACCATCAAATTATCAACTGTGTTCTATCTTAAAAATACTATTTGAATAAATCCCAGTTTGGCAGACCAGAGAGATAATGATTCATGCTTTAGTTCTATCTGTTTGGTGCTGTTGCAAAGCTGTTCTGGCTAGTATCCCAGGCAAATTCTTAAGACTTAAATCCAGACAGAAAATAGCTGTTAGAATATGCACCCATTTTAAACTTCTAAACTCTATATCCTCTGTTATATTTGACCTCCTGAGGTTAGCAAATGAATACAAAGTCAATCAATCATTTTCTGCCACTGAAAGCTGCATTTTTAATACATCCACTACATAATTTGTGATCTTCTACTCCCAGTCTCATAGGGCCAGATTCTCAGATGGTTTTAATCTGTGCAGGACAACTGACTTTAGTGGCGGTATGCTGGTTTCACACCAGTTGAGACTCTTGCTCATTTACTGTACATTGATGTCACAGGCTTGGCTAAAGGGCTGCTGCCTATTGATCTGAGATATAGCTTTTGTCAACAAATAAATCCATTTATATGATTTTTTTCTTTAAATGTATTACACTAGAGAAATAATCACTGCATTTATTTGGAATCTTTTTACTAGGGTATTATAATAATAGCAGCATATATTTAAAAAGCGAGGAACTGTGCACCCCAAACTGGAGCTCATATAGGGTATCATTAAACAACTACAACCCATACTAGATGTGGAACAGATCCTGAAAGATATCTTTCCTAAACCCTCTCTTTTGGACTTCAAACAACCCCCAAACTCTCCAAGCTCATCATCAGAAACAAGGTCCACACAGACCAGGACCCACCAACTCAAAGCAGCACCACACCCTGCCAGAACAACAGATGAAAACTTGCAGACATATATCTGCTGTTACAATATCAGTACCTCCACAACTCACCTTTCAAGATTCATGAGTCCTACACTTGCCTATCACAATATATATGATGTACCTCATCTGGTGCATTAAATGCCCCAATAACAACTATGTGGGTGAAATGAGACAATCACTACTCTCTCTAACGAACTCACACAGAAAAATGACAAAAGACAAAACCACGCTATCACCTGTGGGTGAATGCTTTTCACAAAATGGTCGCTCCATATATGGCCAAAAGGAAACCTGCACAACACTTTTTCAAAAGATGAGTCTGGAAGCTTAAATTCATAACTTTATTAAACACTAAAAATCATGGACTGAATAAAGACATTGAATCTATATCTCATTACTACAATCTATAACCCACTAATCCTCCTTTGTCCTATGACTGCAGAGGTGTCAACTGCCCACTTCACCTTGAATGCTCTCTTACAATATGTTATAAACAATCTGTTCCACCTTTTATTTAGCTGTGACACTCTAACACAGTTGTGGGCAACCTGCGGCACGCAGGCGCAGCCCATGAGGGTAATCTGCCCGCGGCAGTTTGTTTACATTGACTGTACACAGGCACAGCTACCCGCAGCTCCCATTGGCCACGGTTCACCATTCCTGGCCAATGGGAGCTGCGGGAAGCAGCGGCCAGCATATCACTGTGGCCCGTGCCGCTTCTCGCAGCTCCCAGAGGCCAGGAACGGCGAACCGTGGCCACTGGGAGCTGTGGGCGGGCGGCCGTGCCTGTGGATGGTCAATGTAAACAAACTATCTCACGGCCGCCAGTGAATTGCCCTGACGGACCACGTGTGGTCGTGGGCCGCAGGTTGCTCACCACTGCTCTAATACCTTTCCACAGACTACAACGTGTACAGTGCTCACTTTATCTTTATTTTTTATTACAAGTATTTGCAATGTAAAAAACAAAATAATTAGTATTTTTCAATTCACCTCATACAAGTACTGTAATACAATCTCTTTATTGTGAAAGTTAAACTTACAACTGTAGAATTATGTACAAAAAATAACTGCATTCAAAAATAAAACAATGTAAAACTTTGGAGTCTACAAGCTCACTCAGTCCTACTTCTTGTTCAGCCAATCACTTGAAAACAACTTTGTTTACATTAGCAGGAGATAATGCTGCCCGCTTCTTGTTTCCAGTGTGACCTGAAAGTGAGACCAGGCATTCTCATGGCACTGTTGTAGCTGGCGTTGCAAGATATTTTTGTGCCAGATGCACTAACGATTCATATGTCCCTTCATGCTCCAACCACCATTCCAAAGGACATACGGCCACGCTGTTGATGGGTTCTGCTCAATAACAATCCAAAGCAGTGCAGACCGATGCATGTTCATTTTCATTATCTGAGACAGATGCCACCAGCAGAAGGTTGATTTCCTTTTTTGGTGGTTCAGATTCTGTAGTTTCTGCATCAGAGTGTTGCTCTTTTGAGACTTCTAAAAGCATGGTCCACACCTCATCCTGATCAGATTTTGGAAGGCACTTCAGATTCTTAAACCTTGGTTCAAGTCCTGTAGATATCTTTAGAAATCTCACATTGGTACCTTCTTTGCATTTTGTCAAATCTGCAGCGAAAGTGTTCTTAATTGAATAACCTGCTGGGTCATCATCTGAGACTGCTATAACATGAAATATATGCTAGAATGCGGTAAAACAGAGCAGGAGACATACTATTCTCCCCCAAGGAGTTCAGTCACAAATGTAATTAACACATTTTTTTTTTTAACAAGTGTCATCAGCATGGAAACATGTCGTCTAGAATGGTGGCCAAGCATGAAGGGGCATGCAAATGTTTAGTGTATCTGGCACATAAATACATTGCAACGCTGGCTTCAAAAGTGCAATGCGAATGCCTGTTTTCATTTTCAGGTGACATTGTAAATAAGAAGTGGGCAGCATTATCTCCTGTAAATGTAAACAAACTTGTTTGTCTTAGTAATTGGCTGAACAAGTAGGACTGAATGGACTTGTAGGATTTAAAGTTTTACATTGTTTTGTTTTTGAGTGCAGTTAAGTAAAAAAAAAAATCTACATTTGTAAAGTGCACTTTCACAATAAAGAGATTGCACTACAGTACTTGTATAAGGTGAATTGAAAAATACTATTTCTTTTGCTTATCATTTTTCCAGTGCAAATATTTGTAATAAAAAATAATATAAAGTGAGCACTGTACATGTTGTATTGTGTTGTAATTGAAATCAATATATTTGAAAATGTAGAAAAAAATCCAAAGATATTTAATAAATTTCAATTGGTATTTTATTGTTTAACAGTGCTATTAAAACTATGATTAATCACGATTAATTTTTTTAATCATGATTCATGTTTTGAGTTAATTGCGTGTGTTAACTGCGATTGACAGCCCTACTTTTAATATTCTAAACCGTTCTCTTCTGCACCAATCTAGTCAAAGAGGAGTACCACACTCTTAAAAGATGCCTTCAAGATTAGTGGATCCTTGGAAATGTGATAAATGTATTAGGAATTGAGAATTTATTATCATAAGTAAATGTAATAAGAAATCTTGGTAATTTGCATTATTCCTGGATACAACCGCTGAGCCTCAGCTCTAGTCTATGATGATTGCTAGCAAGACTGTATTGTGTGTGTGGTACACACAATTGGTTGTGTCTACATTTAAGTGGTGAACTGTTGATTGTATATTAATGTGGTTCTGGGTGAATTAATAAATTGTTGGTTGGTTAAGAATAAGCAGGAGTTCTGACTTGAAAAATACTATTCAAGTTAAAAGTTGACCAGAAAAGAAACCAGAGTTAAAACTAGTAAGCTAACACCTCTTGGGCTCAATAAAACGGGGTTATCCTACCGGATTCTATTATATATTGACAAACCTAGGTTGTCAGATTTCAGCACCCTGACAAATTCATAAATTGACCCCCTTTCATGCTTATATCCCCCTCCCCTACAACATTAGAGCATTCTGATGGTTGTTCTAATTTACACCAATCTGTAGAAGCTGCAAAAGGTTAAAACTCTAATTCAAGATCGGTGTTGTGTACGTGTGTCTTCATCACTCCTCCTTTTCAGTAACCACATCCCCTTTTCCTGCTCACCAGCAACAAGAAAGAGGTGTTACATATGAGCCCCTGTCAGCTGTATGCCATTGCAGGGTTAAACTTGCATCCTCCAGGGGCCTTTTGCGCAGGTTTTGTAGCCAAAAAAACACGAGCAAGATAGTGCAAAGCCACTACACCATACTGAAGGAGCCAGCTCGCAGTGTTCAACTTGAGAGTTCCAAGAGTGAAAATCTGTAGAGGTCAGTATTATTATTTACTATTTTCTGGACACTTCTTGCAATGTGAAAATGGTCTTAAAAATGCATTCTACTGGGTCATCTAGACTTTACTAACTGCTTCTCTTTGAACCATCATCTAACAGAGTGACTCAAACCTGATCTAATATGACTGACAGGCCCGTTGAGAGGTTTCTCCTTCTCACAGCTCCAGACCACCTGTCAATGCCATGGGCTCACTGTATACAGTGTACTGTACCTACAGGCAGAGCCTGAGGGTGCACTCCACATTAATTAAAAATTCCCCTTGCTCTCTTTCTTTCATTTTGAAAAAAAACCATAATAAACAGGTTCTATAAAACAGTCAATTGAAATATTACACTTATCAACAATAAAAGTACAACGAGTGGGAAAGGATATAAGGAAGATAAAAGGTGAGTTTATTACAGATTTTTATAGAAAACACAGCAGTAGTGGTGAGGCATCTAGTAAAGCAGAATCATCCTCTCATTTATTAAAGAGCTTCCAATTGTCTATCTTGACCATCATCATAGATCTCTCCATTGTGTGTGTTATTCATTGGCTATATTAGTGTGTGGTTGTTTTTGCTTGATATTATATTTTATTTTGATTTAATTTAAAAAAGGAAAAGGGAAAGCATAACAATATCCATGGTTATTGACACCTGCTATGTGGGGGATCGGGAAACTTTCAAAGTCCCGACTCAGATCGGGTGACTGGGGCCAAGAAATAAAGAGTGATCTATTAACATCATTCCTGGGTGCCTCACCTTAATTAAACTTTTCCTTCTCTCCCCTCTGGGATGATATGGGGACAGGAGCTCTGTCAAGAGATTCTCATGGAGACTTCCTCCTCCAGAGCACCCTGCCATGGGTTTTATACTGGGAGGGGAAGATCTGATCCTATATACCAGGGGTGGCCAAACTGAGCCTGAGAAGGAGCCAGAATTTATCAATGCACATTGCCAAAGAGCCACAGTTATATGGCAGCAGCCCCCCATCAGCTCTCCCCCTCTCCCGCCCAGGCTCCCAGTGCCTCCCGCCCACTGGTGCCTTCCCCTCCCTCCCCATCAGCTGTTTCATGGCGTGCAGGAGGCTTTGGGAGGACAGGGGAGGAGCGAGGGCACGGTAGGCTCAGGGGAGGGGCAGGAAGGGGTCGAGTGAGGGTAGGGCCTGTGGCAGAGCCAGGGGTTGAGCAGTGAGCACCCCCCAGCACATTGGAAAGTTGGTGCCCGTAGCTCCAACCCCGGAGTCGGTGCCTATACAAAGAGACGTATATTAACTTCTGAAGAGCTGCATGTGGCTTCGGAGCCACAGGTTGGCCACCCGTGCTATATACAATAAATAATTGGTGTGAGATCTTGTGGTACTGTACACATTGGTGCTTGTTTCTTGTAGTCCTCAGAGTGTACTCTTCTAAAGAAGTTATCACTTCCATAAGTCTTTCCTGTAAAAAGGTTGCTTAATTAGTTAATTAATTACATTACATTAATTAAAAAGAATAGTGCAGTTCAAAGATCCTTCTCCCCTCCTAATACATAAGTCCTCCATACTCCCCTGTTTTTCTTGACATTTCCAAGGTAATACACACAGGCCAAATTCTGATCTCATGTACACTGGTGTAAATCTGTAGTAATTTCAATGAAGTCCATTTACACTGACCAAAGAATTTGGTCTACTGCCTATTAAGCCCTGTGCAGGGGCTCAGGGCTGCGGTGAATTTGCAAAGGAAACATGCTGAAGGTGCAACTTGACCAAGAGCGGACCTATAATAAAGAGGCCTATATCTGTGAATTCCAACTGAGGGCCCAAGTGTTGCTTTTGTTACCTACCTCCAAATCCAAGTTGTTGGCCATTGGCAAGGTCCCTTTGAAGTAGTGATTTGGGCCAGAACTGTAGATTATGAAGTTCACCAACCGGGAAAGAGAGAGAATACTCAGATATATCACACTAACCTGCTGAAAGTGTTGAAAGAGCAAGAGAGAGTCCTCATCTCTCTGTTCCCTCCTGACCCTGAGCTTGGCTCCCAGGCTATAACAGTTCCCAATCCAGATACAGTGCTGATCAGAGAAGGGTTATGACTTAAATGGGAGCAGCAGATACACAAGTTTCCTTTCTGTGTTTTTGGCAAACCCAGGTCAGACTCACTTGGTGTTGCACAATATAGAAACTGAACCCAGACAAAAAGTGGGGGAAACCGTGCAACCACTACCCAGGAAAATGTGGGAGACAGTGCAGCAAGAACAGCAGAACTTCTTGACGCTAGCGGTCATCGAAAAGTCACACAAGTGGTGAAGTCTGATCCTACTTGTGCCCAAGCCAGATAGTTCAACACAATTCTGCACTGACTTTCAAAAAGTGAATGCAGTATCCAAGTTGGATACCTATCCCATGCCTCAGATCTGGAGAAGTTGGGGATACCAGGTATATATTTCCACCCTTGATTTGACCAAGTGATACTAGCAGATCCCCCACCCCTGAATCCCAGGAGAAGGCTGCCCCTTCTATATACCCCTGGGCTTATTCCAGTTTAAAACCATGCCCTTTGGTCTGCATGGGGCTGCTGCTACATTCCAGCGGTTATTTGAAAAAGTGTTATGACTACCCAGACAGTATGCAGTCACTTATATTGATGATATTGTCATTTGTAGTGAAACCTGGGACGACCACATGAAACACCTCACACCAGTCCTACAGGTGTTCCAGGAAGCTGGACTGAAAGTGAACCCCGCTAAATGTCAATTGACCAACAAGTGAACTACCTGGGATATACTGTGGGTGGGGAATAGTTATGCCTTTTGGTGGGAAAGATTAAGGCCTTGTCAGAATGCACTATCCCCTCTACAAAGAAACAGGTGTGCCGCTTCCTGGGGCTAGCACAATATTATAGGTGGTTCATCCCCGACTTTGCCATGATCACCAACTCTTTAACATAACTGGTGAAAGATGCCACACCAAGGAAGACCCATTGAACTGAAGCCTTTGGCAAAACCTTCCAGATATTAAAAGAATGACTGATCCAGGAACCCATTTTGTTTCACCCTGACATCTTGAAGCCTTTTATTTTGTAAATGAACATAAGAATGGCCATACTGGGTCAGACCAGTGGTCCATCTAACCCAGTATCCTGTCTTCCGACAGTGGCCAATGCCAGATGCTTCTGAGGGAATGAAGAGAACAGGCAGTCATCGAGTGATCATCCCCTATCGTCCACTCCCAGCTTCTGGCAAATGGAGCTAGGGATACTCAGCATGGGGTTGCCTCCCTGACCATCTTGGCTAATAGCCATTGATGGACCTATCCTTCATAAACTTATCTAGTTCTTTTTTGAGCCCTGTTATAGTTTTGGCCTTCATAACATCCCCAGGCAATGAGTTCCACAGGTTTACTGTGCACTGTGTGAAGACTTCCTTTTGTTTGTTTTAAATCTGCCGCCTATTAATTTCATTGGGTGACCCCTGGTTCTTGTGCTATGTAAAGGAGTAAATAACACTTCCTTATTCACTTTCTCCACAACAAAGTCATCTCTTTTCCGAGATGAAAAGTCCCAGTCTTTAATCTCTTGTATGGAAGCTGTCCCATACTCTTTTGTTGCCCTTCTCTGTACCTTTTCCAATTCTATTATATCTTTTTTGAGATGGGTGACCAGAATTGCACACAGTATTCCATGGATTTATACAGAGGCATTATGATATTTTCTGTTTTATTATCTATCCCTTTCCTATTGGTTCCAAACATTCTGGGGTTTTTTTTGGTGACTGCTGCTGCAAACTGAGCAGATATTTTCAGAAAACTATCCACGATAACTCCAAGATCTCTTTCTTGAGAGGTAACAGTTAATTTACACTCCATCATTTTGTAAGTACAGTTGGGATTGTTTTCCAATGTGCATTACTTTGCATTTACAAACATTGAATTTCATCTGTCATTTTATGGCCCATTCACCCAGTTTTGCGAGATCCCTTTGTAACTCTTTGCAGTCTGCTTTGTACTTAACTATGTCAAATAATTTTGTATCATCTGCAAATTTTGCCACCTCACTGTTTACTCCTTTTTCCAAATCATTTATGAATACGTTGAATAGCACTGGTTCCAGTACAGAACTCTGGGAGACACCACTATCTACCTCTTTCCACTGTGAAAACTGATAATTTATTCCTACCCTTTGTTTTCTGTCTTTTAACCAGTTACGGATCCATGAGAAGACCTTCCCTCTTATCCCATGATTGCTTACTTGTCAAAGGCTTTCTGAAGGTCTAAGTACACTATATCCCCTGGATTACCCTTGTCTATATGTTTGCTGACCCCCTCAAAGAATTTGACTAGATTGGTGAGGCATGATTTCCCTTTACAAAAGCCATGCTGACTCTTCCCCAACAAATTATTTTTATCAACGAGTCTGATAATTCTGTTCTTTACTATAGTTTCAACCAATTTGTCTGGTACTGAAGTTAGGCTTACTGGCCTGTAATTGCCAGGTTCACCTCTGGAGCCTTTTTTTAAAAAATGGTGTCACATTAGCTATCCTCCAGTCTTCTGGTACAGAAGCTGATTTAAATGATAGTTACATACCACACTTTATGGATGCATCTGATGTCAGCCTTGGGGCTGTACTGTCACAGGAAGTGGTAGTAGTGGAACCTCTTGTCTTCAACATCAGCAGGAAGTTGTTCCCCCAGGAAGTTGCTTCCTTGGAGACTGAGAAGGAGGCCCTAATGGTAAAATGGTCTATAGATGCCCTATGCTATTACCTATGGGGCCACCCATTCCAGCTGGTGACTGTCCCTTATGATGGCTACAGTTCCTGAAGGACCATAATGCCAGAGTGATGTGGTAGTATTTGTCTCTGCAACCATACCACTAAACAGTGTTTCATCAAGCTGGCACAGAGTATAAAAATGCAGACTTCTTTTCACAAGACTGGTGGAGGCAGGAAGACTCAATACAAGTTCACGCAGTGACTCTGGAGCTGAGGGAGGAGGGTGTGGGATGGGGTTTACAGACTCCCCATTAAACCAGAGCAAGGCATAAGGCAGTACTTAGTGGGTTAGGAAGACCCCCACCCCGTAGCAGCTGTAGGGCATGCTCCAGGTGGAGGGACAGTTAAAAGGGCACTGGTAGCCCAGAGGAAGGGGGAAAAGGAGTTATAGGCTGTACCAGGAAGTGAGATTTAAAGCCTGGAGCTGTGGAAGAGTGACTACAGCACTGATAAGGCCAGTCTGCAAGCAGTGATTCATATTCCTCTCTTCTTGGAGTTGGAAACCCATAAGAGGCCCCAAAGAATGGGATATTGTTCCCCTGGCAGACTAAGCTGATACTACTATGACTGTGACCATGCCCCAAATGAAAGAGCCACGGTCCAGTAGCAACTGACCCAGGGAAAAGTGTAACTTGGGGTGGACCAGCGAGTGGTCTGGACCCTGCAATACCACTTTAGAGCCCTTGATTTGGACCCGGTGGAGTGGGTGGCCTGGGTCCCTCTGTATTGCTCCTACTCCCCTTTGCTGTGCAAGAACCCCAGGGGGAGTAGAAAGGACAGAAGGGTCTGAGGCGCATTGAATATGATTTGGCAGTGCCTCCTCCAGAATGAACAAGACTAATGAGAACTGTGGAGCTGCTGCCTGACCACTAGGCCAGCTGGGTATCAGATTGACCGGCTACAGGGATTTTTGGTGTTAAGGATGTCACTTGAAAAAAATCCTGTGAGTGGACAAAGAGCCCCCAGGTGGCTGCATTTTGCAGGGAAGAAGGGAATAAAGTTCACCTAGGAGTCTAGAGATATTCCCTCGCAGTACATTTCTGTAATGTCCTATTACTGTCCCAAACTCAGGACTTACCTGAAGCTTGCTCACTCTGAGCAAGTTTCTCCTTCTTCCTGCCTCCTAGGTTGAGCAATGCTGCTGAGTGCTACTGCATGGAGCATGAATCCATCTTTCAAAAGTCACTCTGTCCTGTGTCACAGACCAACAATATTTTAGATGTGGTTACATCAAAGGTAGGCGCATGTCATTGGTGGTTTCCTGTGCCTCTATCAGTGTACCAAGGTATGCAAAAAATAGTATTTCTTCTCTCTGTAATGTTATTCAAATAGGATGAAATTCACTTAACCGTTTAAAATAGGACAATCTTTTAGTATAATACAGCTCACTATTAGTAGATTCTTCTCGATTTTCTGCCTACATTTTCCTTCTCTTTATTACACCCCACCCATGAAGAGCATGCCCAAGGCCTTGAACTAGCAGTGAAAGTGGACCGAGAGCCAGTGCTGATGTGGCCTAACCCGTGGAGAAAGTGGGCTGTCTCATTCTGTACTACCTGCAACCTTAGTATTGTTCATATTTATATTCAGGGAATTATAGTTATCCAGTCTGGAGCTGATAAATGAGGCCAGGTCTCTGGCTCACAGGAAGAGGTGTTGTTTGAAGAGGTGAAAGGGAGAGGTTTTCTGGATCAGTCCTGGCTTTATGAGGACGGGGTGCAATCTTGCATTGTGTGTAATTTGCATATCATCCTAGGTGAGATGACATTGATTTACATAAAAAGAAAAGGAGTACTTGTGGCACCTTAGAGACTAACCAATTTATTTGTCTCTAAGGTGCCACAAGTACTCCTTTTCTTTTTGCGAATACAGACTAACACGGCTGTTCCTCTGAAACCATTGATTTACATGTAATAGGAAAATGGTTCTGTCATGTATTTCAGCCCATGCAGGCTGCATTTGTAATACATCAAAACACGCAGGGCCTATATGAAATACATATGTCATCGCTGGAGAGGGGCTCTGTCTCTCAGCCCGCCTGGCAGCTTGCTTGCCATGTGCTGTTAGGCAAGCTGTTACAGGCGCAGGAGACAACACAATGGCCCGGGGGACCCCAACACCGTCACTCCCTGCGGGGCGGGGACCCCCAACCCGCTGGCCCAGCACCCGCACGAGTTCCCATCTCCCTACCGCCTGCCTCCCGGGCGCTGGCCGTGAAAGGGCGACCCCGACAGCCAGCGCCGTGTCGGGTGAGGGACCCGGGCTGCCCTAGTCGCCTCAGCTCTCCGGCCGCTTCCCCTGGCTGCCGCCCGCTCACCGCAGCCGCGTCCCCGCGCCCCTCCGGCCGGCCAGCGCCGCCAGCAGATGCGAACCTGCCGCCTCGCGCGGCCTGGGGCGCGGAGGGCTGCGGGCGGCCGCTGGTTGGCGGCGGGGGGACACGTGAGGGAGGAGGGGGCGGCGGGCGGCAGCGGGAGCCGGAGTTTCCCCGACAGCTGGAGGTTGCGGCGGCGGCTCCTCCTCCCCGCTCGAGCCAGGGCCTCCCCCCCGCGCTCCTCCTTATTTACAAACACACAAAGGGCCGGGCCGGGGTCGCGTCTGCAGCCGGCATGGGAGACAAGAAGAGCCCGACCAGGTAAGGGCGGCGCGGGGGCCTGGCGCCGGCAGCGCCCGCGCCCTGGATTAGCGGCGCCTCCTGGCCGGGCCCGACCCTGCGCCGGGAGCAGCAGCAGCGGAGGCAGCGGCGGCGAGCCGGCTCCGCCGTGCAGCGGCCATGGCGGCCGCGGGAGCCGGGCTGCAGCGGGGGCGGTCGGGCCGGGCTGAGAGCCGGGCCTGACCCACCGCCCTGCCTGTTTTGTCCCTCCCCTCGTTGTGTGTGTTGCAGGCCGAAGCGGCAGCCGAAACCCTCCTCGGACGAGGGCTACTGGGACTGCAGCGTGTGCACCTTCCGGAACAGCGCCGAGGCCTTCAAGTGCATGATGTGCGATGTGAGGAAGGGCACCTCCACCCGGTGAGTGTCCGGCCATCCCGGCCCGGCCGCCGGCGAGCAGCTCGCAGCAGCCCCGGCGTGCCAGGGAGCCGCCTGCTGCAGTGGGAACTAGGTCAGATTGATTGGGGACCCTATCGCCCGTGGTCTGCAGGGACAGGGACCAGAAATGCAGCAGCGTTTGATCCCAGACTCGTTTAACGCTTTGGCTCTGCCCGCTAAGAGGCATTTTCCTTTATAAAATTAACAGAATACCTGTCCAGATGCTAGTTGATTCAGCTCTGAAATCATCTGGAAGGGAAGAGGAGGGGAGCTCCCTTCATTGCAAGGAGCTCCCTGGGCTTGACTAGCATCTTGTTCTTTGATTAATGTGTGGTATCCAAGCAGGTTTCCTTTTGTATGTTGTACTAAAATAGCGTATGCAATGTTACATTTTTTTAAGATGATGCCTATGGGGTTTATTCACCTAATTATGAAAATAATTCTGTGCAGCATAAAGTGAGGTAGTTTTATACATTAAAACTTGAAAATAATTATCCGTACAAAGTACAATGTGTTAAACTTTTTTTTTTTTTTCATTGAAAGAAAGACAGGTCTGGATCACCTTTATGCTATTTTGCCTAAAGTATTTGCCTGTATTACCAGTATTTTTTCTTTATGATGTAGCCTAATTCTATTTCCTCAAAAAACCTAAACAAAAATCCCTACATTTTTGTTTGTTTTATCTCTAGCATTAAAGAACTGTCCAGTTTATTTTCAACCCCACCTTAGAGATTCCATCTCTACAGAGGCAATTCCCTGCTACTACTTTTATAAAAGAAATGTAAATTGGCTGAGTTTTGTTATACAGAAAAGTCAGTCTGAAAATCAGTGACTTCCCAGAACAACCTTTTCCTTTAGAACTCCTTCAGAAAGCATGCTGGGAATTATTTGAATCCAGCATGTCTGTATAGTTCTAATATTATAGGTTAGAACAGAGATAGTCAATTATTTTTAGTCAAGGTCCACTTTTCTTAGGGTACAGGCAAGGTCCAGACTCCAGAGGAAATAATAATAATAAACCCCCCCTATAATGATAGTAAGTAAATAAAAAGATTCTGGTGTCTGTTCAAAAGCGTCTGGCGGTCCAGATTTGGCCCCCAGTCTGCCTATTGATTACTCCTGGTTTAGAACATGCATTAGAGGATGGATAATTCTATAAAACCAACAAGCGTGCAGTTGTACAGTCCTTTGCACATTAGCATAAGAAAATACTTATTTAATGAGCTTTTATTATTATTACTATTATACCTTATCAGTTAATCCTGTTAGCAAAAGAAGTTTAAGTGGCCACAGAAGTCGCAGTCTTATCAGGAGTTAAAGAATTTCATTCAGACATAAACAATAACAATACTGTATATGACTTTTGCAATGAATTTATGGTAAGTCAATGTTAGAATACAAAACTGTGTAGAATTGAGTAAAATAACTTCAGGACTAGAGATGTCTGTCACATTTTTTTTCTGGGGGGGGAGTTGGACAACCTTGTTGCAGATTTGTAAAAAACCATAATGAATTTTAAAGTATCTTTTCAAAGCTAACTTTAAATTAAAATGAGACTGGTTTTCTGCTTAAGTCACTGTCAGTTTTCAGAGAATTTAATCAACTATACATCTTTAATAGAATTAAAGAATTAGAATGGTGGGTGAGGTAATATCTTTTACTGGACCAACTTCTTTTGGTGAAAGAGACAAGCTTCCCAAACCTGAACAAGAGCTCAGGGTAAGCGCGACAGCCTCTCCTTTTCACCAACAGAAGTTGGTCCTATACATACTACCTCACCCACCATGTGTCTCTACTATCCTGGGACCAACATGGGTACAACAGCACTGCAGACATACGTCTTAATAGTCAGACAGCATCCATAAAAAGTTACAATGCCCGAAGAGTGAAAGCAAAATTTCCCAAACCAGTTTAATACAAGTGAAGATGACAGCTTCTTCTAAACTTCATTAAGGACTCAAAGCCAATTAAAATAGTATTTTATTACACTAAAAAAATCATTTGGGAGAAAAGTATTAGAATGTACAGGTGGCATTGGCTAGAGAGGCAGCTATGGGAAACCAATGCTATCATTGCTTTATTCTACAGTATTTTAAAAAGAAACAAAAACCTAATTTTGTTTTTCCTTGTTCAGTGAAGTTCTGATATGCAGGTTTTCAGTAGATCCATGGATTTTTGTTTCTCCACTTAAAACCTAAACCAAATGTGTAACCGACTAGATGTATGGATTTCTTGCCATAAGACTTAGTCACATTTTCAAAAGCAGCCTTCTAAGTTGTGTTTACAGTACCATGTGTGCAAAGTCCTGAATTTATACATGCCAGTCACATATACAGATAGTTGATTCACATGTTTAATTACATTTGTGTGCACAAATTAAGCCCTAATCCTGCATTTGGATTTGTGCTGGTGGACCCCTGTGCCCATGAAGAACTTCATTGGACTCATTAGGGTCCATTCATAGATCCAGTTATAGGCTAGAGTGAGGACCTTTTGAAAGTGTGTTCCAAGTAGTTCATACAAAAAAAAGTTTTTAATCAGAGGGAAGACTAGTCACTCCTAAAATAACACTTTTGTTAGAGAGATAGTGGATGAATTCTGTAGTCTTTTGCTTCAGAGTATAATATTTTTATAAGTAAAATTGATGCCTATTCAGAACTATAATGAGGCTATTAGTTCACATCTCAAAAACACTATCAATTTTTTTACTGTGTGGTATGACTGCCTTTTAGGCCATTGTAGACCATTGTTGAGGTGCCTGGGCGATTCAGAACAGAGAAATTTCCTACTTGGTACCTGACCTTTTTAGATTTTTGCATTTTGTGAATGCTAAATTTCACTAAATTAACTCAGAATTGCAGGGAAAAAATGCAGACAACTACAGACCATGAATGTTGTGTTTGTTTTTTTTGGTTGTTTTTTTTGAAAGCCACTGGAGAACAGGTGAAAATGAGATTTGAATTTTCATAGTTTCAATATTAATATAATAATAAATATTTTCAGTCTTTTCATGTTTTCACTGTAGAATAATGGAGTTTTTTTACATTTCCACAAAGTTTGACTTTTTTATTTTAATAGATAGGCATTGATTATGATTTTATAAAAAGATAAGTAAAAACAATATAAATATGGGGGTTTTTTTGCATTATATTTTCCTATATTTTTGAACTATAATAAAAATGAATAATTACAGCAGATTGTATCATGGAGTGAAATTAACTTTGTGGCAGTATCATCTTGCATGGTTAAACTGGGCGGTGCTTGGATGGGAGACCTCCCAGAGAAATTCTGGATGCTTGCAGGAAGTGATGTGATTCATTAGGTAGCACTCTTTTCCTTTTGTTAACACTAAACCAGTGCCCTAGCATGGTGCCAGGCTTCAATATACTGCTATTTGGATAAGACATAAAAGAAAGGTCTTGACGGTAAGTTAAAAATTCCATTACTTTGGATAGTAAGGCCAGATTCCATTTTGGGTAACTTCACTCATGACCTAAATTCTTCCTGTAGATATAGTATTTTTATTTACTTTCTAACCTATGTTGTTTGTAGTTGCTGGGTGCGAAGTTATTGTGTTCCACTGCGTAGGGAACTGCATTTCAATGCAGAATGAAGTGATTTCTCTATGTCCTTAGTAAAACATTTTGGGAACTTTCTGGATGAAAGATGCTGTATACATGTGGATAAGACAATATTCATCATGCCTTATGCAGCTGAATCTCTCACTGAAATTCAACAGAGCCCTAAGATATTGCTTTAGAGAAGGAACTGGTAGTGACCTCTATATTTAGGTTGCCTAATACTTTCCATTATAAAAGAGTCTTCTGATCTCTTTTGAGAAACTTTGAAACCTCTGTTGCTTGTACCGAGCCTTTGAAATTTAGCAGGGGGAGAGCCCTACAGTTAGATTAAGTGCCTTTTTTATTTGTCCCATGAAATTCTGCTCACATTTTGCTGAGATATAAAGAGCTGAAAATCATTACTTTCTGTCACTTGCCATTGCTCAGGAAAATTGTGGCACCGTGCCAAAATAACAGAACATGAAAATATTCTAAAATACCAGGCCCACATCACTCCCCAAGCACCGGTGGACACTGCAGTGGGATCCCTGGGAGTAGACGCCTGTTCCCCCTCCCTCCTGTACCTACCTAATGGTACCACGTGGGGCAGATGTCCTCCCAACTTTGGATGGGGGTAGGAGAGAGGGAAAAAGAACTGAGCTGGCTAACCAGGACCACCCCCTGTGAACCCAGCACATGGTCCCTGTGGCTCATCTTCCTCCACACACATGCACTGTAATAAGTCTTCTGCTGACAGCTAAAGTAGTTAGGCCTGTAGTTCAAGTGGTGGACGTCTATGCTGCAATGCTA